GTATATTCAGGAAAATCTATACATTTAAAACTAAGCGGCTTCGCCGCAGATAAAAATAAAAAAAATCTGTTTTGGATTTTAAACGGAAGAGTTAGTTAGCCTTGAATTAAGGCAATAATTACTCTTGGAGTAAGCGGATTGCGATCCGCTAAACTCGTACTTGTTCTAAGTATAGAAGGAATAGTCGGTGACCTAAGTTACGCTTCCTCAAAGCACAAAGCTACGGCAGCCTGCTGCAGCGGCTATAAACGCTCTCATCTCCTAGTCTTTACCCACTAGCAATTCCCTTCATCGCCTTAACGGGAGAACATACATTTTTTTTCATCACGCACAGTACGCCTGCGATCACTTATGTAATGTGTCGATACTACAGTTCTTGCGTTGAGTATGTCACTTCTGCGGAGATACTGCACCCAAGTGCACAGTCACGTCTGCGGCCCCCTAGTCTGGAAATCACTAGTGCCAATCGCTGTCACTTGTCTGGAGCACGGACGAACACTTGATGATCTCAGCCTGATTTATCAGTAACTAAGCTGTTGTACCCCCTTCCACATCGAAATGGACTCATAACATTATTAACCAGTTGGTGGGATCCATATGATTCTCAATCGGTGTTTGATTGGGGAGGTAGCAAATCTTATTGCCAGCGCTTTCTCGCTATTCATAGCTAGTGATTACCTTTAGGCGAGCGATTACTAACTCCAGTCCTATGGAAGCCAGTTCTTTGATCCCATTGGGCGTCCTATTAAGGCCGGGCTTTCGGTCAGGAGGACGGCATACTATCGCGACTCGATTGTTGGCTAGGCGCTTTATGTGCTACCAAGCACAGTGCCGTGTCATGCACTTTGCGCAGAGGAAGCTTTGGCTTTCGGTTCATGGGGTTGCCGGTTGCTCAAAAAACTTACGATTGTGCAACCAAGTTGTTCAAGCCGAGCCAAAGTAGTGAAACCTCTGAGGTATCCGACTGCTTCAGTACTATTACTATTCCTTTATTTCAGTTTGGTATAATCCTCTGTGTATGCGCTGATAAAAAATTAGGAAGGAACATAAGCAATTACCGTTTCTCTCGGTCGCACAAAAGGTCGTGCAGCTTTTTATTTGTTTGTATGAATGGTGTATGAAGGCTCTTCAAACATTCTATAAATAGTATACTACAGGTGGGCACATCCTTCACACTTTTTTATAAGAGAGTAACAGTTCATTTACTCTGGTAGCATTTTGTGGTCAATCCTGCGATCAGAATCACTCTCATTCTTGCGAGGGTCAATAGTTAGGTCGTGCTGGGAACTCTCACCTGATTAGCTCTTCTGCCATTGTCTGAGAGCGTCAGCGCGAGATTGCTTTTATTGTCCCACAACACGAATACTGCAGCCATCGCTTGGTTTACATAATTGATCTGGGCGTTCTACAGCGCAACGTTGTGACTTGACAAAAATCTGACCCTTCTGTCGGAGAATACCAATTAGAACATACCGCTCGGCCTAAGCAATTGGTGCAGCAAAAATCCGCCATAGTGCCCACAAGACAGTCAAGCGCCCGCAGCTGCCGAGCGCTCAATATTCGCTGACACGTTAAAGTAGACAAATCCAAGTACGAAGCTGCCGAGGGCGACAGCTCTTCGGGTTGGTTGGTGCTATTACCGCGCGGTGCATCACTGACGGAGCCCATCTGCTTGGCTAGACGCCCAAATACTCAGGTATTTGTAGTTGAAGGATCCCAACAACTTTCAGTATTTCTGGATTCAGGAAACGTTCCGAAAAAGCGTTTGAGCTGCCATATTCAAAGTTTAAAGCACGATCTGATGTCCTCAAATCAAAGCAACGTAAGAATGGTGTTCATGCTTACGGTCACAAGCACGATACCTAGTAAGTTGTATCGTGCAGGTCACGATTGATGACGTGACTCGCGAGGTCATATTCATCAAGTATTTGTTAGATGGCATCATCACGACCTACCTTACCCGGATTACTTGAAACGTTGAAGGGGCAATAGGTCTTCCTCTGATAGAGAAGGGCAGCCTATGTCAGCCAGATGATCACTTTTTTCTGTAGTTCGACCGGACGATGAGTAATTGAAGTTCAGAGCCCGTAGGGCTTTCCGTCGCGGTAGGAAATATCCCCAACCACGATACAAAAACAAAAATCTTGCAGTCAATTACAAGATGCTTGAGCAGGTTGCTTACGATTACCTTGCTCCACGTCCAAACAGTTGAATGAGCGATTACGAGACACCCATTTAAAGCCTTGTCTTGTAAGTGCACGGATGCAAGATCTGCCAAAAATTGGAAGGGGATAGTAGGCGTCGAACGGCATTCTGCACAGATCCTGTCAACCAAATACGTGGGCCACTTTACTCTGAATGCAAAGAAATTGTGGTGTACCGCGCAAGGTAATGCTGAACCTTTCATCTTCTTGGATTCGGCAGGAAGCATCGTTCCGGGTATTTGAACTACGGTGCATCAGACGTTTTTACTGAATACGACGCGATAGAAGCGGTCCATATGAGAATATTGGAAGGAAAGAAACAACACCTCGACCAAGATGACTGTTTAGTTGGGCAAGGATGGCACCGTATAAACAAAATAGCGTAGATTTGGCAGCTACTACACATTTGTCGACAATAAACTCGATGAAGATTTTTTCGTACTAAAATTGGACTCGAAGCCATATATGGAAGCAGCAAACCATGCAAAAATATCCTAACCGATGCCAACGCAAACCGTTTCACCATCAAGCAGACCGTCGCTTGCTCATTCAATGCGTGAGGAAGCTGCATCAACCACAATTTGACGAGTTTGCCGATTGGTAGGACCACTGTACCGGTAACGGACACTAGTACGAAACATACACTAGCAGAGGAGAGAAATCTCCTGTAATGCCTTCAAGCGATTACGAAGTGGGGATACTTGAGGAATGAATGAGAATAAGCATGTACAGACAAAACGTACACGGCTTGAATGTGAGACCTACGTCGTCCTAAATCAAGACTCATGTCCGAACTTGGCGTCGAGTGTGTATAGGTAAGACTCACGTTTAACTGAGCCGAACGCAACTTGCGACCGCGATCATCACTCGGTAAAATCGAGTGATGTCGAGGATTTTGCTTCATACACATCGAGGCAGAGTGTGTCCAAGTCTACACTTGCACGCACAAGGCCACAAGTGTATATAACTACTAGTTTATGATAGCTGGATCACACCACAATGCCAAGGAGCTATCGCTGAGTGAGCACAGCGATGCAGCTACAGCAGATGGGCAGCATGCGCTGATCGGTCGAATTGCTCAGGTATAGCAGATCCCCGAGGACACCAAGAAAGTCAATAATTTAGTAAATGCTGACAAGGTTGTGCGTACTGCCACTCTCATATTTTCATCGCCTCCTCAGAGATCCTAGCAAAGTCATTATCTACCACTGATATATCAATCAAGGTTACGACGCGATCAGCAGTGGGGCAAATTCACGTGAGTATGTTTCCTCGCCACGGATGGCAGATCCGTGACCAACATAAGGATGATGGATATCGTCCCGCAAGACATCCATTTCAGCTCGACACTAGATGAGTCTGGCTTGATGACTTGATCTAAAGCGAGCGCTTCTATACTCAGTCCTGGGGGGGGTTGATGAATAATTCCCGCGTACGACAACAAACACGAGTATCGGGATGTCATTTTACGATGCGATACCGTGGGAATTGCCGAAAGACAGAAGCCTGTGGTATGAAATCTTTCTCACACCGGTCGATGTCATCATGACCATCGCCATCAATATCCAGTGGTGCATTTGGCCGATACACTATCTCGTTGGATGTTGGAGACGTTGCTTTTTCCGCCCACCTATGGATATAACGATCATCAGTATATTCGACGAATGCATCGAGCGCGTCGTTTCGCACTCGTTGATTGCAGTATATCATCGAGGATCGATGATTGACCACCCTCGAGCGGATGGTCGAACAGACCGCACAAATTGCGTTTTGGAGGATATCTTCTGCAGTTATGCCTAATTATTTCCAAATTGGAGTGAGTTCCTGTTGATTGTGGACTTTGCCGTCAACAATTTGATACATGTGTCTGCATCAAATACCGCCTTATACAAGTATGCAAGAATGGTTTGAGCCTTTCACAATTACCACCGATCTTCGACTCTGTTGAACCTGCCTCTTCTCTCTTTGAGGGAATCGTAAAAGCGACGACTGTCCACTTGATATCATTAGCCTTACCACGCTGTCGGAATTCGGATTGCCAAAACTCCTCAAAAACCGTAAGTCGTGGGCAGATACGTCCTTTGGTAAATCGCGTAGTCGAAACACAGTATTGACAAGTACCCATCCGCTGCGATCGATTTAGTTGCCTACAGTTTAAAGTGTAACCCAAAACCGTAGACACGGTGAACATTCCTGAACAAATTATTCACAAATTTCAGACCGTAAGCGTGATCACGAGTAGATGGGAAAGGCAAAATTTATCAAATCCGCGTCTCAGTAATCCTTTGGGACAGGTATAGAGGTCAGAGCTCGCAAGCACGCACGATTTCATGTTGGCGTGGCTAATAAAAGTCGCGGGATGGTATGATATATAAATTTTCACGTCCGCGATGACCACCGATCGAAGAATCATGAACCTTAAACTTGATTTGAAGTTTGAGATCATAATCATCCACAAAAACACCCCGATAATCTATCACTGCTCGATATTTGAGTAAGTTTTGCGGTGCGCATACCAACAAGAACTTGATCGGTATGATGGTGACAACATCTTTGAGGGATCCCTCATATGGTTGAGCAAAGGGTACCATGATTCGCAAGGAACGACGATCTCGTCCATACATAGCGCAAATGTAGTTAAGTAGTGACGACGATGGCAGATTTGTAGTTAGCTTAAATGCATTGACAGTCAACCTTTGACGGCTTGGTGCCGTGTTGATGCACACGCTACATGGTGAGCATCTTCTTGACGTGAATTCGATGACTTCGCAAAGGTGATTTTAGCTGGCGCGACTGGTAACAGATGATTCATCGTGCGCAGTTGATTGCAAAAGTATAAGCATTCGGGAACGGTAAATATCACTTGCCACATAGCATAGTAAGCCGTAGTGTCGAAAGAGTCGATAGTCTCTTACTGCAGCCCATTAGGGCATGCCACGCTCGAATCGGTCAGTACTACCACTGAGCCGATCGATACATTCCATAAATCAGTTCTGATTAATGCTGAGAAAATACATTCCAAGCTTGCGCAATCTGCGCAACTGGAGTGCGTACTTTGCATTCCGTCATTTCTGTATACCATTGAAATGCCGAGAGTGGAAGAAGTCGACGCCACATTGGATGTTCTATGGGGCACGCACTTTCACTTGTGCATATTTCAAAGTAGGGTGCCCTGGACGTATCGACTCTTCCAGCGTTCCAGCGAGATAGCATTTCATTCTTGGATACCCACCGTTGGACGTATGGCGCTGATTTTGCTTAATGATGCATCGTGCGTTGGTTGGGTTTGGTTCGTATCCGAAATCTCCGGTCGTTGACGGGATTTTACTCGTAAAACTCTCTTTCCCCCTGTTGATGAGCATCAGTAGCGCATCGATTGTTCGCATCGTCTCAGGGGACAAGAAATATCTATCTAGCGGGATTCGACAATAGTGTTCGTGAAGTGGATGTGGATAAAGGCGATGCTGCCTTCGTCCCCACGATTGGGTGCCAAGGTTACACCTAGACACAGCTGGTCACGCGCACTCTTGCGCTGAGGTAACGTTGCCTTGAGGCTTTGCCTTCTTGCGTCGCTGTCGTACACGCCACTTTAACCATAACCGTGCTGTGGAACTCTGGATTAAATGACGACTGAATATATTACAGGTGGTTTTACGCTGATTCTATTCTTAACCTAAAAATAGGAATTGATGTACTTGTAGCCACCTAGTTATAAGCGTAGGGCACACTAATGGTAGATATGTGTGTACCACACAAACTGTGTAATGGGCCTACCACACTAATACAGATTTCAGCGGCCCCCGGTCATTACGGAAGATGAGCTTGCCGAACGGAAGTTCTTCGAACTCGTTTCTTGTTAATTTACGTTCCGGGTTCCGAATTCCCTCGACCGAAGAACCGAATGGATTTAGACTCACCGTATTCAACCTGAATCAAAAGGATCTCTTTGTCGGCTAGTGCGCTGTCGGGAACATATTCTCCGCAGCAGGCGAAAGATTACGAAATCTTATCACTATGTCGTCCGATACAGCCGCAGCTGCGGCAACTGCTCTTCACGTTGGATGTTAGGGCCGACTGGAAATTATACGAGTTTCTCACACGGCTGGGTCAACGACTACAGCAGCTCATTGCCATAGCTTGACCTCAGCTTTTGGCCCTCCAGCTTCCCGGGCCACTGCCGAGCAGCGCGATGCGTACGACGACGAGAAGCGTCATGGTCCCTCTGGTCATAAGGGTCTACGACGTCTACCTCAAACTCTCACGAGTTCTTAAAGGTTGGGTATCCCCGCCGCTTTGCAAGATATTGGGTTAAACCCCGTGGACGGCGTCACCCCACAACGTGTTCCACGTGGTATTGGACGCCACCATTCTCATCGAGAAGAGTCAGCATCAGGCAATAACGACTTGGTCGATCGCCGTCTGGTGACTTTGGATGCTCTTCGGGCGTTGAAGAACAAAGTGCGTCATCATAGGCATTCTGCCGAGCGTCTTCCCGAGCGATGGACCTCGAGGGTCCGAAGCACTTTGTGCTTTTCGCGCTCTGTCGGAGCAACTCAGGTCTCCGACCTCAATGTTTCTCCTCCCTCTTCCGTCTGTATATTCCTTCTGCATGCCTTGACTTCTAGCTCTCGCATCGCGTAAGACACTCAGTCAGGTAAACAGGAAGTCATCGACTTCTTTCGCACGGTAAAGGGGTGACATCGGCTGGCCGTTTGGCTATTCCCCCACCATGACCTGAGCCATGGGATGGCGGCGTTAGCGGGACGCGAGGATTAACAAGCCCGTTCACGTAGATAGGAGTCAGCTGGTAAATGAATGCAATGCATTGTTCAGAGCAAACTCTACGACTGGCACCATAGCGCTCCAGTTCTTCGGCGTCTCAGCACAGACGCTGCGACGAACATCTTTAGCAACACAATTCACGCGCTCTTTTTGACCATCGTTCTGCGGTAGTTCCGCTGGTGACATAGTCAGCTTGGTGCCTAGCACCATGAAGATTGTTGATCAAAACTTCCCAGTGAAGCGTGGGTCTCTGTCGGAGACAATTGGCTCCGAGAGTTTGTGGTATCCAGAAACACGATCCAAAAAGTGTTGCTGTATCCACACCGTCGATGGTGTCCGGAACTGACGAAAGATGAGTCATCTTGCGCAAACGATTCACAAAGATTACCACATCCGTGTTGTCCGCCGAGTCCTTCGGCAGGCAAAAAGTTTATACTGATGGGTTGCCAACAACCGGAGGGTATCAATGAACTGGCCAGCGGCGCTGCTGGATTCGGAGATGATTTCACCCTATGACATGTCTCACACGTGTGCACATTATGTGCGCGTCCACTTGTACAGCTTGGGCGACGAAGAGCAGCAACTCACCGAGCTGTACGTCTTCTCACCACCAAGATGACCACTAAATAGGGAGTCGTGGGCTACATAGAGATACGGTATTTCAAATCCTCATCGTGCGGAACCACAATTCGTGGCGTATCCGTTGAATTGGTGCTTTAATACAGCAATCCATTATTCAGCGAATATCGGGTAACTATGCGCGCAAATGCGCCAACAATTTTTTGTCCGAGTTTCCAGAAACATTGCTCCCGAAAAAATATAGCAGCGCTACACACTTACTAACACCCGCGTATACGGCGCGGATCAAAGCCGTCACTGACGTCGTGACATTAGCAAGCTCATAGTCCGGTCTATGTTACAACGCATCAGCCAAAGCATTCTGCTTTTATGGCTTATACTATACCTCTAGGTTATATTCTAAAATGAATGAGAGCGACCTGGTCATCCTCTGCGAGAGGTAAGGCGACTGAGTCGAGGAGCGTAATGAAGCATTATCTGTGTAGATCACAAATGGCTTTGAACCAAACAGGTGCACACTGAACTTGACAAGTGCGTACTTCATCGCAAGTAATTCCTTGTCGTGAACTGGGTAGCTCCTTTTTGCAGCCTTAAGCTGGCGAGATCCGAATGCGATTACCCGATTTCTGCCCTCGGCGTCTGCTTGCAGCAGTGCACAGCCGATGGCAATGTCCAAAGCGTCACAGAGGACACCAAAAAGACGATCGGGGATTTGGCAAGCCAGTATTGGTGCATGAAGGACGCTGTCTTTGACACTGTCAAAAGTCTCCCAACGCTTGGTGCTCTACCACCATTTCTTATCCTTTTCAAGGAGACAATGGCCGTGCCATTTCCGCATAATTTGTGCTTACCTGTGCAAGCAGTTGGCGAGGCCAAGCCACTTGTGCAAGTCTTGTTGATCCTATTAAATCGGCCAATCCACAATGGCCTAGATCATAGCGGGATCCGCTCGAAGGCCACAATTCCCAATGAAGCACCCTAAAAGAGGATTTCTCCCACCGAAAATGCACTTATCGGCATCAGCATACAGCATTTTCGTGCGCATGCACTCGAGCACCGTCCTCATTAGGAAAATGTGGTTACCCTCATCTGGTCCCCGTGGCCCGCACGACTGTGGACGAAGATGTCGAAGATGTCGAAGATTATTTGTGCATACGCCCGGTGGGGCGTGATCAATTCCGTCACAAGACGATGAAATGTTCCTTATGCATTTGACAGCCTTTGGGCCTCACCAGCCACTCCTAGAGCAACCCGCTCGAAGTACTCACTGCTGTCAGCGGAATATCACTCGCTCCCATAAGCAATTGGTGATAAGCATTGGCCAAGTCGAGTGTGCAGTACGTTGTACAGCCACCAAATTGTTATACAGAACATCCTTTCCGGAAAGTGGCGTTTGTACCGGAATGATGGCAGCGCTTAGCTTATTGTAAGCGTCAACGATACGCCATTTGCCATTTGGTTTCCGGACGGGTGTCGAATGGGGAGTCTTTCTCCACACAACACTCCTCCGTCACGCTTCGCACGGAAAAGGTGTCAATAACGGCACACTTACCCTTGAGCAGGTGCCAAAGGCGTGTTGTGCAGTATTTGGTTCCCGGAACCAGGTCAATCTCATGTTGCACACCTCAATCTGGAAGTAGGACCTAAGGCGGGTCTTTGTAGAGGACGTCTTTAAATTTCTTTACCAAAGAAAAGTTCGGCTCTGAGTGATCCTTTATGATTGATGATCCACCTCGTGCGTTTAGCACCCTCTTAGTGTCCTCTAGGACAGCTTCACACAGACAAGTTAATCTCCTCGTCTGGTCGTATAATGACCAATTTAGATAGATTGCCTCCCTTCAAGGCACCGCTGAACTCTTCGAAGGACAACTCGTCCAGCTCAAAAAGAGCATCCACCGCGGGAATAGGCTCGAGGGTGACGTCACCGTCTTCCTCTTCCGTCATACTGTTGACAAGGGTATATAGCTGTGCGCTATCGTCTACGGAAGACACGCCCTGGGTCAGGGTCGACGCCTTGCGTCTTCCAGATAACATATGGCATCACTATCGCCTCTCTATAGCGGCTTTACACCTCATCAAGACTTTTTAAAATGCTCTCGGCGTCGTTCAGTGTCCCAACTCCCTGCGCCGCCGAAGCCTTGATGTTATTAATGGCATCCGACGAAGAGCTGCTCTTTTTCCAGTGAATAATGTGCCACTCCACGCGCATCAGATGGGTCGTGTCCAGGATGCCTCGGACCTCGTCCGTCCATGCCAGTCTTGGCATGTAGCATTTGCTTCATAATATTAGTAGTTCTCAATGGTTTACGTGACACTTCACGTGCATCACCGGTCCCCGCCCTCGACGACTCGGCCTTTGGCCGAACATGCCACGCTTGGCATCCAGCAACTGCTCCAATACTTGAACAGCGCCCAGTGGGATACGTGCCACCCCATGTACATCCCGCCAGCCACGCATTGGACCCTGTACAAAACACGTGTTGTTTGACAAAATGGATCGAGCACATTGACCGTCCCGGTATACCTTTATCCTTGGTATGGCATGGTCGGAACACCATGAGCCATGGATCGATTGGAGGTCGAAGACCTTGGTCACTACGCGTAAGTCTCCTGGCGGGGCTTTGGTGAGTCATGAAACCACCTTTGCTAGGGAGCAGTTGCGCTATTGGCGCAGACACTGCATCCAAGTGTAAGACTAGACAGCGTTTCACACCATTAAAAATAAGGAACCGATGTACACAGGGACCCTCGGCTCAGTGACCAACTTCCCGTCGTTAAGCAAACAGTGACGGTATCAATAGGCCGCGCTTCCAGTGCCTTAGCATACAG